GGGTGTCGGGGGGGACAGAGAATGAGAATGAATTCATTTACTGGTTTGGATACTTGGATGGCTGGGGATGTGACGAGAGGAAGATTGGATCAAATTTGAGGAGGATGAGGTACTATGGCATGGGACACACCAAGTCTAAGGTACCCGTGACGATGCCCAATAGATATTTGGACATGCACGTCTGATGCTAAGGAGTGAAGGCCAGGTTGGGATTTAGTTACTTTACTATGAGTAAAAAGTCTATGGCCTTTGCCAAGCCAAAGGAAAAAGGAGTTTGAGATGCAGCATATTTTATACAATGTATTTCTGGGGCTGTCTCATACAAGTTTAGTTTGATTTAATGGTGGGTACATATTTCTGTTCATATCTTTAAAAAGTGGATGCTGTCAGAATAATATGTTTATTCCCATGTCCTCTGGTCCTCTCAAGCCTCAAATGACTTTATCTTGCCCTGTGTGATCTATAGTTTGAAGGATGACAGCTATAATTGTTTTTTCTTTTATTTTTAGTTGACATGAAATAATTGTACCTATTTTACAGCTGTGATTTACTATGTCTATTTTTATGCTGATTAAATGTTCTTAGCATATATGCCTTATATATGTGACTTCATGGAGACAGGAGCTGTGTCTGGGGTGTCCAGTGTTATGTCCATGGCACCTAGTTCTGCTCTTGGCTCATGGTAGACACTCAAATATCTGTTAAATGACCAGAGATTTAATTTTTCAAAATTCCTATCAAGTATAACACATAAAGTATGTCCGTATAAGTATTTATTATTAATATCAAACAAGACACTTGATTTTTGTCCTTCTAAGTTTCTTCAAAGGGAAAAGAGAACAAAGAACAGTGGGATTTAAAAAAAATATTCCAATAGTGTACAACCAAACAGAAAAAAAATAAGCACCATCCATTTCATTTTTCTTTCCTAGGATATTCATGAGTTCACTACAACTGTAAAGATGTTTGTGACTGTAAAAGTGTTTTTTAAAAACCTGATGATAAATATGATAAAATATACTGATACATTTTACAACATGGATGAACTTTAATAATATGATTTATTTTACCTGATACATGTAAAATATTATTATTATTATTCTTTTGAGTTGGGGTCTCACTTTGTCACCCAGGCATGGATGAACTTTTAAAACATTATGCTAAGTAAAAGAAGCCAGACACAAAAGGCTATATACTGTAATATGAAATATTCAGAATACACAAATCCACAGGGGCAGAAAGAACAATGGTTTCCAAGGCCTGGGAGAATAGGGAGCGATTGCTTAGTGGGAGTGGAGCTTCCTTTGGGAAGTGATGAAAATGTTCTGGAACTAGACAGTGGTAATGGCTTGCACATGAGGGAATTCAAGACACAGTACCCCCAAATATGGCACCTTCGCATGTTGACTATGTCAGGCTGAAGGAAGGTGAAGAATGGCATTTGCAGGAAGGACTTTCTTACCTTTCCCTGAGGCAAATCATAGGACTCTCATGCAAGAGGTGTCCTCCTTATACCTGGAGGAAAGGAGTGTCCTTATCTCCGAAAATAAAGGGATGCAGAGAAGAATCCGAATGAGCAGTCTTTGCTAAGTTTTCCCTGGTTTACCACTCTTATACCCTTGTTCTATTACATTCATCTATGAATTTCCTCTCTTCATCAAATCTAGCATAAATATGGGGTTTATCTGTTTCTTTCAGTCTTCATTTTCTTGTGAAGTCTCCCATGTTACATAAAACGTGCATTAAATAAGTCTGTATGCTTTTCTCTTGTTAATCTGTCTTTTGTTAGACGGGTCCTGGCCAAGAACTCAGAAGGGTAGAAGGAAAAAATATGTTTCCTCCCTTACACACAACAATGTGAATGTACTAAGTGCCATGGTATTGTATAGCTTGTAATGGTTAAAATGGTAAATTTTATGTTATGTGTATTTTCCCACAAAAATGACCAAAAAGCTTGGTGATAATGCTAACCATCAGTTTACCAAAGTGAAATCATAGTACATATAATATCCACATAGACAAATACTTTAAAATATCACCTGAAGCTGCTACAAGATAACCTATCTCTAAATACAGCAGGGTTTCTCTATGTAAGTCAAACTGTGCTGGTTCCCCATACTTGGCAGGGGAAGAAATATGGGCATTTTAAAATTTGGAGGTATTTAAGTAATAAAATTAGTGTGATTGTCTGGAACAAGATGGTTGACTGTTTAAAATAGAACCATCAACGAATGATAAAACAATCCCTAAATCCTAAGGACTTAGGATGAAATAAAATGGAAAGGGAGATGTGGATCAAACTAGTTTATAAAACAACTACAACTGAAAACTTCATCAAGGGTATACACGGATGGAGAAAGAGAAACAGATTCCATAGTGACTCTAGGGAAAAGCTTCCCTCTGATGAAGGATTTCTAAACGTCTCTGTCCAGAATAATGGGGGCAAAGTTTTTCTTCTGCTAGCTAGGTGAAGTGATGCTTTTCTTCTTCTAAAGGAATAGTTAACTACCCGTTTGCTAGTAAATATACTGATTTAGCTACCGAATGCTTTGTAATTGGTAGAAGTCAAAAGAAGATACTGCGAGAACTTGATTTTCCTGAGATTGTGTGTAGAAGTCATGCACAGAAAAAGTTGAGAAAGTTAAGGGAGCTCCTTAGATTATGCTGGAAGCCTTTGAGTCGACTTCCCAACACAAAGAAATGCAAATTTCAAGTAAATCCACTGGATCCCTTGAGTTAGGAGACATTTGTAGATACACATGTGATATAAATTGGAAACAGAACACATATAACCTTCTTAAAAATGTTTCTTTAAAAACTGAAAAATATAAAATGGCCATCACAACAATTTCATGAACATTTAGAGCTACCCTCAACATTTGCTTCAAAGAGAGTTTTAGAGAGCAAAAAAATTTTCAGATTCCTTTGGCTTGAGAAAATCAGTTTATTAATGACAGCTATCTATTACCTTGTCCATTCAGTATGACTAATATAAGTCTGCCTTTCAGAATGACTACAGAATTTTTACCTTGAGAGAAGGATGTGTGGAATTAATCACTTTGTCAATTAATTACTAAAAGTCTTTTATGTACAGGGCTCAGAGCTAGACATTGTACAACAAAGAAGGAAGCCATGTTCAAAGTAGAGAGCTAAAACACTTGCACATTAAAAAATAAGTAGCAAAAACACTAGCAACAGAAAATGGTAAAATATTTGTGTTGGTAACTTACATAAATAGTATTACAGGACAAGTTATTGGGTTGGGGAAAAAGGATTCTGAAATTATAAAGGACACATGGGATTCATGTATGTGTAAGTAAAGGTGACATAATATTCAAGACAGGCAGAGAATGTTATGAGCAAAGGAATAAGACAGGAACTGTAGACAGAGTTAGATGATGACCATTTCATTTAGCAACTGACACTGTAAATAGAGAGGGAAGAGATATAAGGTAGAAATATGGAACACGCTCAACACAAATGTGATTCTAAAAACTGATACTAAGTTCTACACGCAGTTTAGTGCATATGTAGCTGATGAAGTTGGTATTATAAAATCCCTCTAAGGAATGGAAGAGGATACGAATTAGGTCTTAAGCATATAATGGTATTCATCCATCCATTTGACAACTATTAATTGAATTCCTATGATATGATCAGAAATTTTGTGTTCTTGAAATTGGGGCATAATGACGAAAAAGAAAGACAAAATTTTATTCTCACTGATCTTACATTTTGGTGGAGGAAGACAGACAATAAACAAACATATTGAAAAGATAACGCAGCACAAAATGTCATGAAGGAAACTGAATAGTATGATACCCAGTGGTGGTTATAGATCTATTTTAGATAGGGCAGTTAGAGAAAGCCTCTTTGTAGGTAGCATATCAGCCAAGATCTGAATGATGAGAAAAATGCAGCAGGGGGAAGAAACAAAGAAAATTCTTAGAAAAAGGAACAGAAAGTAGAAAGAGCTAGGCTTCTTCTAGGTTTAAAAAAGTAAGACATCACTAGTTATCCCAATGTTACTTATTTTCATTTGAAATTGAGTAGAACCACAGAACACCCTACTCAAATTGAGAAGCAAGGTGTATAACTTGCTGTGATTACCTTATATCCCTCTGCTCCAGGTGCTCCTCTCTCTCCTTGTTCCCCCATTGGACCCTACAGAGACCACACACGATACAATCAATTTCACAGCTGGATTGAAGCATTTGTGAATGCAGTTGATACAATTAGTGTGTTTATTATTTTGGCAAAATATAAAACCAAAAATATATTAATTTGTTTAGTTTCATGAAATACTTTCAAAACATTGCATTTCAATGATACCGAGAACATGCCAACCACTGAATTATATAACGAGACTATCATAATGATTCTGCTAGGAAAAATATTTTAAAAGTGCAGCTTAATTAAACATATGAATTTTTAGATGAGTACAGTATGCTACACATGACACCAAGGTAACTTACATTTTTACTTACTGTTAAAACGATTGAAAAAGATTTAAGCAGGACTGTTCAGCCACTTAATTCCATTGATTATATAAGATTGTGTTTAAATGAGCTTTTAAAAAGTATCAGTAAATTCTTTAACAAAAATTCTATTGTCTATCCTTTAACCTGTGAGATTTTTAATTCTCAGGGCATAAATCAGTCTAATAAAAATTGTACTTGCTAATTTTTATCTGTAAGGCAGAAATTAACCTAACAACTCATACTTACTATTTCTAAATATTTATAATAGAAAATCTTTAATATGATAAACTGTCCAAATTATCTAGTCTAAAATGAAATAGAAATATCATTTATCACACACTAGAACCTACTGCTGAATAGAAACTTAAACTGAAATCAGTTGGCAGAACATAGAATTTATGATGGAATATTAATTAACAAAGTTTAACTTATTCCTGTGTGGATACAATTAAAAGACATAATACAAATAGAACAATCTCTGACTCTGCTTTAATTATTTAGAATATTCCTGGTTTAAGTTTCACGCCTGTCCCATGTCTACTGGATACAACTACATCATGTTAGCCTTTTAATATAGTTATTACATTTCAGCTGACATTCTTTGATATTGGCACACCTGAATCTGGGAAAAACAAGCACTGCTATACTCCACTTGCCGATTTTTTCCAATTTATTTCAACAGTTTTGCATTATTTTCATATAGTATCCTCTCTTAATGGTTTAGAGAGACTAGACTATATTTGATAAAGAAACTTACATATCCATTCAGATATGCCTGCCTCTATATGAGATGACTTCATTGAATCAGGAATATCTTAGAACCTTTTCTACTTCTAAAACAAAGTATAACTTTCAACCATCTCCAGAAAGCCAGTTCAAACGAACAGGAGTGACTATATAATCTGATCCTGTGCCTTAGAATTCTTTTATCCCATCTGATACCATGTAAAACATGGAAAATAAAACCAATTATAGTTATTTCTGTGAACTAAGAATTTCCACTTAACCTGTTTAACTCACACATGTTCTTTAGACATTGTTTTGGTCAAACATGTACCTAGAGACAGTTATTCAGATAATCAAAGCTACGATAGCTACTTCTCAGAAATCATGGTGGTTATAGCTGGCCCTTAAAGTGTTTCATTAGAAGATTATGTAGATCAATGATCTTTAAAGGTTATTGGTTCTAATAACTAGTTAGAGAGGTTTTGAAATCACTTGGCAACTGTGTGTAAACTACCACAAAAAAGTATACAGATTAGATTTTAAATACTTTAAGGATACATCTGAATGCGATAGTTAAAAAATGTTTACCCTAAAATGTCCAGAGTACATACATTTCTGGAAATCTTTGTAAAAGTTGCCACCATGCATTCAGTGATGAAAGTTCAACTTGGGAAGTCACTACATTAAACCTATTTATTATGCTAAGGATCTTGACCAGCATATTTCTCATATTGCAGACTTTCATGTCATTCAGATTCTATGATGGCAAACACTCCTCTCCTATCAAACCATGTTATAAAACTAATGAAATAAAACTCCTTGACAAAATGTAACTGGTGCTGTAAAACTATGATTGTATTTTGTATTTTGCATCTTGAAGCATCAAAATAATTTTAGGAAAAAACCTACTGGTTCACCTCGAGGCCCTGGTGGTCCTAGGACTGTGCTATCTTCTCCTGGGTAGCCCTAAAATGAAAATAATGATTTATAAGCAAAACTAAATTGATGAAGTAACCTTCAAGTGTACACAGCCTATGATTTTTTTAATGTTAGGAAACAGACCATTTGATTTCATCAGAAAGCTTTGACCTACGGAAATAAGCATATGATATCTTACAGAGTTGTAATTTGTATTGGGTTCTTCCTGGAAGTGTTAATCTGCTTTAATGACATAAGAAGCAACTTAGGAATTGTCAAACTGTCAGGTTTTCATAATATTTTAAGTCAAGAGTACTGTTATAGTTATACCTATGCCATCAAAAAATTTTAATATAAATGAGTCAGGTGTGGTGGTACGTGCCTGGAGTCTCAGCTACTGAGACTGAGGAGGGAGACTCTAAGAATTTGAGTCCAGCCTGGACAACATAGGGAGATACTGTCTCCAAAGAAAGAAAATAATTATAATAATATAAATGTGCTATAATTAATCATTTAATCTAGAGCCTTATAATCTCTTTAGATAAGTAATTATTTTTACTTTTATAAAGCTTTACAGATTGCAGAGCATTTTTACATATTATTTTGCCTCAGTCTTGAAGCAACCCATAGAGAATACTTCAGTAATTTATTTAAATGTTAGCTCTTTGATATTTATGTTTTTATTCTAGAATAAGTAAAATTTTCTTTCTTTTTTTTTTTGAGTTGGAGTCTCACTCTGTCACCCAGACTGGAGTGCAGTGGCTGCTCCCAGCCACCGCAGCCTCGACCTGCTGGGGTCCGGTGACCCTTCTGCCTCAGCCTTCCAAGTAGCTGGAACTATAGGTGCACACTACCACACCCGGCTCATTTTGATTTATTGTAGAGATGAGGTCTCGCCAAGTTGCCCAGGCAGGTCTCGAACCCGCGGGCTCAGGCAATCTCAGCCCCCCAAAGGCGTGGGATTACAGGCTGAGCCACCGAGCCCGGCTGTAAAATTTTCAATCCGAAAATTGCCTTCATTCCTTGAAAATGTTTCCATGCATTCTCTCAGGAAGAATTCTTAAATTCAGTGTTTAACTAGAGGATTAAAAAGTCAATATATATATACATACCTTTTCCCCTTTAGGTCCTGGCAACCCAGAGAGTCCTGGTTGACCTTGATGGCCCTAAAAAAGGACAAGTAGACACTCTCTATGTTATCTGTGCATGCTTTACTGAAAGCCACTTAACCCATGTTTTAGATATTACAGTATTCTGAAATATCAAAGGGATTTACTCTATAGGAGGATGAGACCTAAATATGTTAGAAAGATGTATCAGAGTGATTTCATAATTTGGATATTTGGAATTTCATCTTTAATATAAATATTTTCATACAAATATATATTGTGTATATTTTTTCAATTAGAAATGCTCACCCTATATCCTGGAATTCCTGGTTCACCCCCAGGTCCCATCAATCCTAAATGTCCCTAAAAATAAAGTAAATATTAGTGACAGAAAAAAAAATTAAATCATTAAACTTTCACTCCTATTACTTAAATTGTTATCTTTAGATTTTTAAAGGTTGAAATTCTACCTAGTCTGAAGTGGGAAAACAAAAAATAACAGCCCAACTTTTGTTTTTATTTTTTCACTGAACCACAAAAGGTGCCACAAAAAATGTCTTTTTGGTTTACTTCCAATATGAACATCCTTAATCACATCAAAACAAACAAACAAACAAACAAAAATACCCTTCAGTTGTCAGAATTCTGCTGGTCCCTAAAAAAATTCTTGGAAATGTAGTTTATATCTGTCAACGTTTGTGGCAGATGTAAGTCACTGAATATTGGAGGGTGCAGTCTGAGAGTTTCTGACATTGTCACTGTGGGATCCAGAGAATGCCATACTCATTGTTCATTTTAGCTGCTTTGATAAGTTTGGTTTTAGTCCTAGGTCAAAGTTGTTAAAACAGAAATGGCTGATAACCCATGTGTAATAGTCACCCTATGGTTACTCTTATTATCAGTATTTTACAGATAGGGAAACCATATAAATTAAAGACTAAACAGTAAATGCCTCTAGTCTACTGAAAAGATGACTCAGACAATTGAAAAGAAGCAAAATAATAATCTTTAAAAGTCCCGTATTTCATATTATCAAAAAGAGTTCACATCAACGTTCCTGTGTGAGTCTCAAAACAGATTGGAAATGAGGAAATTAAGGCACCGGATAGGTATGTGACTTGCCAAATATCACACTAAACCAGGTCTCTTGATTCTGAATGTAGAGGACATCCCAATTGATCACACTGCTTCACTATATTTGAAGACTTCTTTAAAGTCCCAGCTCTAAAAAAGTTTATAATTATTAACCATTGAGCAGTAAAGTTAGACTCATTCAGTTAAGATTAAATTTCAGTCTAAAAAATGAATTGGACAAATTTTTACTAATAAGAACTCAGGCATTATCTAGATGAATAATTTAGACTAGAATGTAACTACTCAAATCATACTACTAATTAAAAATGACATAAGAAAAGTTGCTAAAGTGATCTCAGTATATATTTGATTGAGATGGCTGAATGACACATGCTTGTTTCATTAGTCCCAAATCGAAAGCGGGGGGAGGGGGCGGAGGAGGGGAGAGGAGAGGAGAAAAGAAAGCTATTTGTAATACCAACAATGGTAAATAAATAAACATTATCAGTGGACCAATATTTTGTGATTTGAGACAGGAAACTAGGGCTGAAAATATGCAAAGGAAAACATGGCTGCAAGTACAAAAATGGTCTCAAAGAAGTTTCAAACTCTGAAATCAAGAGATTAAAGGATTTGGTCAGGATGACTAACTGAGAAGAGGAGTCAGAAGGCCTTCCTACTCTCCTGCTTGTGCTGGGATCTGAGAGTAGCAACATTTGCCTGGAGGAGCAATGAATGAGCATGGGAACTGGCCAGAAAAGCAGGCGGTGCGGAAGGTTGCTGCTGATTCCCAGTGACTCTAGATCCACTGCAACAAGAAATAAAAAGGATGATTCATAAAGATAACATGAATCAGGCTTAATGTACCTAAGGTATATTTTCAAAATAGTAGTCCCCCAAAAATAAGTGGGGAGAAGCTACCATGATGAGTAGACCTCAATAACTGCTTTCAGAAATCAATGAATTAAATAGTGAGGGAAAAAACCACAAAAAGTATGAGAGCTGTAAGGATTTGAGTATCTCAACTCAGTTAACAAGCTTTATCTAACAGACTCACTTAAAACAAGAATGCATAGTCTTTACGCAAAAGTTGAGCATATAACAGACCTCAAAGAAAATGTTAAGTCCCCAAAGCAAAAATCATATAGGTACATTCTCTAGCTACAATGCAATATAATGCAAAATAAGCAATCAATACCAAAAATAATCTACTTAAATCATAAATAAGAAAATCTTTAAAATAAAGCTTGCTAAGGAGAAAATAGAATCTGAAATAGAAGGCTATTTATAGGTAAATACTGGTAAAAACACTAAAATATGGGGGTTACGGTCAAACTATCACACCAAAAAAACCCCAAGTGGCTTCATATGCATGAAATAAATTAAAGAAATAAAATAAATGAGCTAGATATTTAATTCAAGAAGATAAAAAACTATAAAATAAGCCCAAAGAAAAGAGAAGATTAATATAAACAGAAATCCATAAATAAAAGTTGAGTAAAAAACAAAGTAGACTCTTTGAACTGACTAATAAAATAGCAAAATCTTTGGCAAATCTGATGAAGAAAAAGAAAAGACACAATAAAACACTAGGAACAAAAATAACAACATAACCATAGGAAAAAAAATTTAATGATAAGAAAATAGTAATTACAAGTTTTATCCATTAAATATAAAAATCTAGGTCAAATAGATGATGTTTGAGAACAAACTTTACAACTTTATTCAAGGAGAGACAAAATTTGAAAAGAAAGTTAAAGACTAATAAAATAACATCAGGCATCAGATTGTTTTAAAGGCAATTTTTATCAAATCCTGTGAAGAGCAGATAATATCTATGTTCTAAACTGTTACAGAGTACAGAAGAATATGGAAAATTTACCAACCCATTTTATAAGGCTTGCTTAACTCTTATACTCAAACCCAACAGGGTAGTACACACTAAAAAAAAAAACCAAAACACAGCCCTATATTTTGCTTACAAATACAGATACAAAATTCCTAAGATGAACTAAACGCAATAAACAAAAATAAATCTCTTAAATAAAATATTAGAAAAAATGAATCCAGGAAGCATTAAAAGAATAATAAAATCATACCTAAGTAAGATTTATCCTAGGAATGCATGGTTGATTCAACTTTTGAAATTCTATTAATGAATTTCCTTATATCAACAAAAGAGAGAAAGCAGGGACTTACTGAAACAAATATTGAAAAAATATTTGATCATTTAAAAAATTTTTTAGCAGTTCAATATCTACTCTTGATCCAAACTCTCACTTAAAAAGGAAATTTCTTTAAAATAATAAAGGGTATGTTTAAAAAAACAATTGTAAACAACACTTGACAATAAAACATTAGAAGCATTTTCACTAAAGACAGGCCCACAAGACAAGATCTCCCCTGTCATGACTTCTATTCACAACTATAATACAAGTTCTAGTCCATGTAGTAAGTCAGGAAAACAAATAAGGAGACCTGATGATATTTACCTAAAGAATCTACGGGAATCATCTACATTCATCAAAGTGGATATAAGATCAAAATACAAAAGTAAACAGTTTTCTTAAACAGCACCCCTAAGATGATGTAATGGAAAAAGAATGATTTAAACACTGAGAAGAAAACCCATTTAAAAAAAACCCGAAAAGCAAACTAAGAATAAGCCTAACAAGTAAGTTTTGGAACAGAGATAAGAAAAAAAAAAAAAATTACTGAAAGATATATATGTAGATAGGAGTAAATATATGTAGATATGGTGTTTCTCTAGAGAAAGATTCAATATCAAAGGAAAATGATGTGTCAATTCTAAAGTTCATATGAAAGAGAAAATCATAATAAGAGCCAAACTTTTTTGAAAAATTAATTATAGAGTATTTGCCCTGTAATAGTATAGTAATTAAAATAGTATGTCAGCCGGGCTCGGTGGCTCAGCCTGTAATCCCACGCCTTTGGGAGGCTGAGGGAGTGGATTGCCTGAGCCCGAGGGTTCGAGACCCGCCTGGGCAGGCGAGACCTCATCTCTGCAATAAATCAAAAAAATTAGCCAGGCGTGGTAGCGCGCGCCTGTAGTCCCAGCTACTTGGAAGGCTGAGGTGGAAGGATCGCCGGAGCCCAGCAGGTCGAGGCTGCGGTGGCCGGGAGCGGCCACTGCACTCCGGTCTGGGTGACAGAGTGAGACTCCGACTCAAAAAAAAAAAAAGTATGTTATTGTCCCCAAATCAGATTACTAGATTGAGAGAAGCAAATTGGATGAAAACAGACCAATGAATACTTGAGAATTTAGTTTATGGTAAGGATAGCATTTTAGAAAAGCAGGAAATAGATTGCTCAACAAGTGGAATAGGGACAACTGTCTATCAATTTAGAAAAAATAAAATTAGTTTTCTATAACTCATATACCAAAAAGTTAACTCCACATGTCTAAAGAATATGTTTATATAATTTAGGTAGGGAAGGCATTTCTAATGAAGAAATAATACACAGTAACTCTCAGGGAAAAGACTGAAAATTTTATGTAAAAATTAAAATGTTCTATGTAACAAAAGATATCATGGACAAAATTAAAAGGTAAATGATAGAAAGGGAAATATATTCGTAGTGTATTTTGTAACATACAAATCAATAAGAAAAAGACAACATCCCAGTAGAAAAATATGAAGTATAATAGACATGAATAGGCAACTATTGGAGGAAAAAAAATGCAAATTACTTAGTTGCAATAGGAGAAATGTAAATAGAAAAATGAGATATGCTTTCTCACCAGACTGGCAAACATCAAAAGGATTAATATTAAATTTTGGTGGCAGGAGTGCAAATTTGGTCAAAATCTTTGGGAAAGTAGTTTGGTAATGTGTCAAAACTGAAAAAAAATCACAGTATTGAATGTTTTTGAACATATAGGCTAAAGACAGAGAAATATTAGTAATTTAAAAGAAAGTAAAAAAGTCTAGGTAACAATAAGGAATACTTAGAAAGAGCCTGAGGCAAACTGTCCTCAGACAGCAAATAGATTATGTAATTCTCCAAAAAGTCTTGGTGAAAAGTCTAGCATTTGTGACATTTAAGTGGAGACTAGGAAGTATATAAGTATTTTGTAAATAAGTTTATAAAATAGCCAGAAGACTAAATTAAAAAAATTTTTAAAAATATTTTGCATCTCTTTCATGCTGTGATTTTTCTGAACAGGCCCAAATATAATTTTGCCATTAGAGGTTCATAAGTATCACATTATTCTTGCTCCCAACATCATGCAAAGTTCACGAAAAGATGAAAGATATAATTAGATGTAAGTAGATTTATCACAGTTGTTAAGAAAAATAATCTCCAGATAAAGTATTTTTTTCTCCAAGAATAGAAAGAAAACCCATTTCAAGTAAACCTAATTTTCAAAGCAATTTGCTAACCATGACAGCATCGTTTTATACAGATATTAAATCCCAATTTTAAGAGCTAGCCATATAAATTTTCCTACTTTGGTTAGGAGTTATAATCTGATTTTTAAAAACCTCATTTCATATTTTATTTCCATTTTCAGTTTTTTTCCCTTTCCTTTTTCGTGTCCAGAAACCACTAAGCCATTTAAGTACTGTGGAATGCTTACAATTCTCCTCATCCCATGGAGGTAGATTATTTTCAGTGGAACTATTGCCTTTTCTGTAAAGTTAATCAGGGGAAGAGGCTTTTAGGGCATGGATACATTTCTTTCCCATCCACAGTGGCTTGGTTCTGGAAGCAAATCAAATACTGACCACAGCACCCTGAGTTCCTCTGGTACCCTTAGGACCACTTTCCCCGGTTTGTCCAGGAGGACCTCTGCTTCCAACTTCTCCTGTGGGTCCTATTTGTCCTTTATCGCCCTGTGGATGATATTAGTAAGAAAGAAAAGCAAAAACAAGACAAAACAAAAAAACAAAATATACTTAGATTCATTAATGATATCATATACCTGAATAACTACAGAGGATACTCAGTATGCAAAATTCTAGAAATAGCAACTTTGCTTTAAGTTGGTATCACGGATCATCACTAATAACATACCATAACCATACAAATTATTCTAGGGATAAAAGTAATTTGGGGAAAAGAAGATTAAAAAATAATTTTGCGCAAACAAGCAGAGGATATCTGGTGCTTATGTTGAATCCCAAATCATCTATTTTTTCTTACTTTGAATTTTGTTATGTATGTGCACATGCATATATTATTATGAGACAACACAGGCCCTATGACAAGTTTGTTTCTACAGACTTGTCTGTTCAATGCCAAAAAAGCTCCAGTTCTGTATATTCAGGACCATGACTCTCTTGCATCCGTAATATTTTTATATCATTTTACATCTTTCTGAAAACTAGTTGCCTTCTGTTTTTCATTAGATCGACTGACCTCTCCTTAGCCCCCAAAATACAGCTGCTCTTATGCAACATTGCATTATTATTCATTTTTCTGAAGGCAGGAACCAACCTGTTTTATTATTGATAATCAAGAAGACACAAAGAAAAACTAAACTGTGAACACAGTCAGGAATTTTTGGTATCCATAATAGTTTATAAGTTTTATTTTGCTTTCCCAGGGGTGCAGGTTGTTGTAAAGACTTGCATTGTCTCACTACCAGTGCTGATTTTTGACATAAAACTATGTACAAAGAAAGAGATTTCAATATCGGGGTCGTTTTCATCGGCATAATGGCAACTAAAAGTTACATTCATTCATTTATCTTTATTAGTTATTATGGCTTCTACTGTTCCAAAAATCTTGAGAAAGATGAACTAGGTGTATATCTACAGAAATGCCAGAATTGGACTTTGGGAACCAGAATATGGTGTGATTTGAAGTTAATTATAATAAATATATTCTAAACTGTCATAGTCAGTGGGAAAATCGTTCCTATATTTTATCAATATTTGAACAAATTACCAACCCCAAAGATAAATTTTTCATTATAATGTACTAGAATTTTAAAAATATCCCTTTTAGTAAAATATAAACAAAAATATTCTTGATTTGTGTTCCTAATATATAGAAAAAAGAAAAACAATCATTCACCTTTCCAATTTAGATGAACACTTTAATGACAAACCCTAAAACAATTATAATCATATTCTTTTCCCACAAATATTTTATTAAAGCTTTTATTGAATAGCACAAATAGTACAAAAGTATAGTGTTTTCCTTTTATCTCTTTTCTTGCCCATGGTCTATGAAAAGAATTTTTGGCAAACAGGAGACTAAAGAAAAGCCAGTTTTTTTTTTTACAAACTGCAAACTGGAAAATTTGCCTTCAAATAATCAAGGCAATAAGTATGCCTATCTGGAATTAAATATTAATATATAAAGATGTATCTTTTTAGGCCAAATTTAGAATTCTTCCTTACTTTGTATCTAGTGCAAATAAAACCATGACAGCATTCTATGGAGTTCTGAGCACATCAGAAGAAAGAAAAACAGCACTAAAAAAAAAAAAATCACCTTTTTTCCTGGATGACCTCTTTGTCCTGGAATTCCCATAGTTCCTTCAGGTCCCTGAAATATTCAGCATGAAAAAGGAAATAAATAGTTAAAGGAAAGACAAGATGAAGTGTTTAAATATTTATATTAGATAATGACTGATTTGACTACTAAGTAAAAATGAAGGTTACTTTTCAACAACATTATGTCTGTATTATTATTTTAAAAGAGGTCATAATGATTTAGAGGTATAACTGTGGCTAACTATAAAGTTCACATACACAAACTGGCCAAGGTAGACGAAATTACACTGTTCATTATTCTAGAAAGAATATCACTTGGTTTCATATACTCATTTTAATTAGTAAGAATGTAGTTAAAGTAAACCCATGCTTTCTATGTCACAGAATATTAAAAAAAATTTTTAAAAACAAAGCAAATCCAAGTGCACCCATTTCAGCATTTCTATGAGCTCTTATGAGCTGATCATCTTGTATGAAATACAGGATTATAAAAATATATCTAATACATGATCAAGGAAAATCTCACAGCCTCACTGGAGTAGAGAGCGTTAAATAGATATTCTTAGATCTGTGGAAAAAGAAAGAAGAGAAGGAAATACAGGAAGGAAAAGGAGGTAGCCATATTAAATGGTTTAAAATAACATTTTCACTTTAATCTGTACTCTGTTTAGCCAAAAGTAGATTAAAAGTTTTCAATATACACTTTTTAAAGGAAAAAGTGAGACACCATGTGAATTTTCAGATCAACAACGGTTAGGCTTAAGTGAGAGCCACAGTAAGCCAGGTCGCAAGTTCTAAAATGGCTAATAATTAATCACAACATTCCTTGCGTTAGTTGGAAATGAAAATGGAAATCTCAAATTTGTGTCCCAAAAGCTTGGCAAGCAGCAAAGATGATGTAGACAAGAAATAAATTGTGGTTTACCACTGTGCTATGTAGGCTCTTGATAAATATTTGTTGAACGAATAAACAGATACCTAAGGAAATGACTCATGCCCTGTGCTCCTGAGCAAATGCTCTTCCAGCCTCTGAAAGTCGCTGGAATTGGAGGCCAAAGCTGTCACGCTCTATTGCTGTACTTACAGCTGCATCCAGAGGTAGAAATGATAGTTGCACTATCCTGAGGACTTTGCTCTTAATGAAGCCTTTTCAAAAAAAGGTCGATTAATTTTCATAGACATGAAGGGTGTGAGCTTTTAAAAGTCAGATTGCTTCAGTTTCATTTTCTGGCAACGGCACCTAATAGCCAGATGGCCATAGGTCGATTAGTTAATTTCTAAAGGCCTTGGTTTCCTGCTAAATAAAAGTGGAATAATCTAATCTCTTCAACGGGCTACTGAGATTAGGTAAAATAATGTATGTAAAGCTTAGAAAGGACTAGACTAACAATGAAAAGCTCAATAAATGTTAGTTCTCACTAACTTCTGCTGTTTTTACAAAGTGTATTATGCAATATTTAAATATACGTACAATGCTAAAAGGTACAGTGAAAACCCATGTACCTATCACTCACTGTAAGAAATATATACTTGAAGTCCCGTAGACATACACCTGTCCAAACACATTATCCTTTTTGCCCACTAGGTGCAGTCACTGTCCTGGATTTTATTGTTTCCAGGCATTTCTTAATACGTTCACTCCATTTGTATGTATTTCCAAGCATCCTAAGGTTATTTTGCATCTTTTTAAACATTAAAAAAGTAATACCATATTCTATGTGTTCCTTTGAAACTTTTTCAAAATGCCACATTCTGTTTCTGAACAGTGTCTTTCATTCACTCATTCTCTTTTATTACTGCTACAGGATTCCATGCTATTATCTAACCACAACTTATTTAGTCATTTTTCCTACTGATTAACTTGCTTTGGTTGGTGTTTTCTTTTCTTCCTCTATAGAGAATGCTACAATAAACACTGTGTACACGTTTCTGTGTGCTCCTGTTGAGGTTTTTAGGGTCTATACTTTGGAGCTGAATTGCTGAACTGAGGATATGTGTATCTTCAAGAACCGAAAAAAAGCTGTTTTGCCAATGTACACCCCCACAACAAAGTTTAAGAGTTTCATTTACTTCATATCTCCTATAATGCTTGGCGCTATCAGACCTAATATGGGTAGAAGGATGATGTTATTTATGTTTTCAATTTATATTACTGGTTATTAAGGAGATGACTATCCAATCATAAAGTTATTGGACATCTATGTGTTAATTTCTGTTTTCTATTTTCTGTCCATTATTTTACTAGGCTGTCCTTTTCATATTGAGTGAGATATGGGTATATGTGTACATATATGTATATATATATGAATGCTTTTATATACATTGGCATTTTGTTCATTTTATTTATCACAGATTTCTTCTCCCGGCCTGCAGCTTATTTTTTCACTTTATTACAACTTTGATTAATACAAGTTTTCAATTTTAATGTAGACAACTTTATCAATATTTTCTTTCTGTTTCTTTTAGTGTTGTGTTTTAAGAGAAGCTTACTGTTTTCCCTGCCCTCATGAGGTCATAAAATATTCTCTTAAATGTTCCCCTAAGAATGATAAAATTTTTATTTTAACAATGAAATATTCAATACAATTGGAATTTAATTCTTTGTGTGTGTGGTTGTGCACATTTGTGTGTGTTTTTTCCCCAATTTGGATAGCCAATTGTATTTGTACCACTTATTGAATAGTTCATCATTTCCTTATAATCAATTTATCAAAAATCAAGCTTCAAAATACACTTTGATCTGGTTCTAGGCTATCTTCTGACTCTATTGGTCGGTTGGTCAGTCTTTGTGAATGAGTGTGACACTAACTTAATTATTCTAGCTTTAATAGGTAGTTAAGACATCAATTAGGTCAAGTTCTCCCTTTCACCTCCTCTGCCAACTCCCCCACTTCTGCATAGCTTGTTCTTTAAAACTGTCTTAATATTTGTCCTTCGGTTTTCTACATAAATTCTAATATCACTTTTCATCAATCAAGTTTTATTTTAAAAACCCATAAGGATTTTGACTAAATGTATTAACAAATTTAGGGGAGAATTGATAATTTCATGATATTGAGTATCCCTATCATGAATATAAAATATCTATTTTGTTTTTCTTTAACAAACTGTTACATAATTTTAATTGCAAAAAGTTTCTACAATATTTTTACAAATATTTCATTTAGATTTATCCCTAAATATTAATTTTGTTGCTAATTGTGTTGCAGATTTTATTTAAAAATATCTTTCTAACTGTTTGTTGCTGATGAGGAACAATAGAATTTCTGTACATTGATTTGACTAATTTATTTATTTATTTAGAGATGGGGTCTTGGTATGTTGCCCAGGCTACATTCAAATTCCTGGGCTTGAGTGATCCTTTCACCAAAGCCTCCTGAGTGGATGGGAGTACAGATATAACACAGTACTTGGCTTATTTATGTATATTAATTTAATAGGTAGCATCTTGGTGAACTCTCATTAGTTCTTGTAATTTGTCGATTATTATTTTTAATTTTTGGCTGTACTGGCTGGGACTCAAATGTTAAATGGAAATAGTGAATAGTGGTAATCTTAGCTATTTCTTTGATATTTCACCATTAATGTTATAGCTAATGTGTGGATATTAAATTTTACTAACTGCTCTTTGTTTTATCTATGGAGATGGTTGTATTTTTATTTATTTAATTTGTGAATATGTGACTTACATTCATAATTTTTAAAATGTTAAACCTCTGTTGCAATACTGATGCCAAGGGAATTCACAAGCCCCTTGATTATATCAGCACTTCACACTACTCTGGATTTAAGCATTCACGTATCAGCTGATATACAGTGATGCTACCATCAATGAATAATTCAATTTTGGCAACACTGTGCTTACATACATATTTAAATATTAATAAAAATGTGTGGATCTGCAGTACATAATCAACATAAAAATAAAAGTGCCGACACTGGTGACAAGCATTAGTCTCATAAGAATGCCTAATTGAGGCATTTGTTATTACTCTGAGTGACAACTTACATTTTCATTACTTACAGGAAGCATCCTTCCCTGTGTGAGGCCAGCTCCTCTCTTGTGCTCTGAAGTCCGCGCCCTCTGATTTATTCAAGGCCCTCCCTTACTTGCACTATCCATTTCTCTCTCTTGACTGGATCATTTCCAACAACATTCAAACATGATTAAAATTACTTGTTAAAAACAGACACACAAACACACCTTGACCTTATGTGTCTTCCTCCCTGCCTTCTCTCCTATTTCTTACAAACTTTTCTAGTTCCATTCACTGTCTCACCCTCACATCACACTTTTTGAAAGACACGCTTATGCTCACTGTCACTATTTTCTGACTTCTCCATCTCTCTCCATTTGGGCTTTTGTTTTCATCCTACCCCTGAAGCTGTTCTTTTCTAGTTCACCAATTGATCTCCAGATAGCTGCGCCCAATGGTCAGTGATCTGGTTAATTTTATTTGAAACTTGGTGTTTTTTTTTTTGGTCTTGAAACTTGTTTAACTTTCTTGCTCACATTGTCTTTCCACATTGGAATATAAATTACTATAAATTTTATGACAGCAGGAATCTTGTCTGTTTGCTCCCTGTTGTAATATTAGTATCCAGAACTGTGCCTGGAATACAGCTGATGCTTAATAAAGATTTCATAAGTGAATAAATGAATGACAGAATGCATGCCCGAAGTTGAAAATAATTAGCCTTAATCAGACAGTATGATAGTCTACTAGGTATTCATTTGTAGGAAAATAACTTTTTAAAGAGCATGTACTAAATATTGAAAGTAAGACCCAAGTTTGTGACTAAAAAGTCAAATGTAACAGGAGATTTTTGTAATTTTTTTAGCTTCTAGGAAATAGAACATATGGATTAGGAATTTTTTTGCACAGTGAACTTTTTTTTTAAAGTACAAAGTTTAATAGCAAAATTTTAAATCATGACAAGATGTGAAAATTAAGTATTTTAACTAAAAAAAATCTAAAGGTACGATCAACAATGTAAAAGAAATGAATATAATAATAAAAACAATGATGATTTATTTTAGGACACCATGAA